AACTTGGGCCAGTGAAGCAGCGTCCTCCACAACTAGATTGAAGAACAAAACGACAGCAACTTGTCTGTTCCCCTTCCCCTAATTCCCCAGTACTGTTCCCATCCCCCCAATTACCCAATAAAAATCTTTAAAAAAATAAAATAATAAAATAAAAAAAAATAAATAAATAAAATTGCCTAGCTTTATGACTTTCCATGAGTGCTTAGCTGCCCAAGCACAGAAAGATGGTATAGATGGCTGAATTCATGTAAGGTTGAACACATAAGGACAAAAAAGGACAATGGTACAAAGGAATTTAAAGTATCGGCCAGAGAGTATATGGGGGAATAGTAAGTTAAATGGAGAGAAAAATGAAGACAGCAGATAGATGATAGAATGGAAGAAAATGGGTCAATATATCAAAAGAAATAATGATGCAGAAGAATAGTTGAAATGGGAATATTTGAGTGAGCAAGAAAGGTTAAAGAAAATACACCTGTCTTCATTTTCATTAGTCTAAAGAAATGAAACACATCTATTTTGTATGCTGTTACAATCCCAGTACACAGCAGAGAAATAATTACAAAGTGCGAATTCAATAAATATGTACTGAAAGAATAAACTTTACTATGAGAAGTATAAACATGAAAGACTATTAAATAAGGATATTTTCTACAATATCAGTTATAACACTGATATAATGAAAACAACTAAATGTCCATCAAAGGCAAACAGTTAAACTGATAGATCCAAGCAACAGAATACTATATATTGACTTTTAAAACAGAATAAAGTAGATCAAAAAATGGTTAGCAGATTCATAGACCCCTTCTGACAGGCCCTCAACTGATATTTGGCTCTTAGACCAAATGATAGTTAAGACCAAAGACTGTTATCTATTAGGACTACTTATAACACGCTAAGTTATTAAGAGTTACTAAAATTTTATATGATACACTAAAATTGACACATTTCCAGTTTACTGAGGACTCAATTTAGTATTCTACTAAAAAGTCTGACTGCATGAAACTGTTAGGTTCCCAATAAACATATGCACATATATACTAATAGCTGGAATACACATAATTTTCAGGTAAAATGCTTTATCGGTGCATCATCAGATTTGTTTTGATCTAACTGTGCTTTTCATTTATTGCTATTTTAATTAATATTTTAGTAAAATTATTATTGGATTTTCCTTTTATTACACATTTTGTTCTTCTATGAATTTTGTGTTCTTTAAAATTTTACTATTAATTTTATTTCTCTCCATTATAAGTTTTATCATCCCCTAAGAGGCAGGATAATAAAAAATGTCTGAGAACTAGTGCTCCAGGCAAAAAAAGCTCTAGACTTCTCTCTGCTTTTCTTACCCCATAACCCCCAAGAAAGGGTGCTGAAACTGGACTGAACAATATCAAGGATATTCATTATAAATAGTAGAGACATGGTTTCTCTTGAGATTACTTCTATTGGGAGTGTCTTTCTCTATGAAACTAATACCTCCTCCCATCAGAAAGCAAGCAAAAATCAGAGTGAAACCAAGAGGAATGGGGGACACTGCCACCCAGTTCAGGCAAAAGGAATCTTCTCAGTTCCATGCCATCTAGTTCAGTTTACTAGAGCTACACCAAAATTAGAGCAAAAGCCTCAGCACATAATAAAGTGTTTCTTTGGTGTTGTCCTTTCTGTTTGTATTTTCATGAAGATTTCTAGAGATGGAAGTGGTGCACTAGGCACCTCAAATTCAAAATTTAAGAATCCTGGGTCTTGATTATTCACCCTTATTCATTCAACAAATGTTTATTTGGTACATCCTATTTACCAGACACCATGATAGGTACTGGAGATATGATGCTAAACCTTACGGATATGGACCATCCTTCGTGGAATTATAGTCTACTGGGAGACACAGAATTTAACAACAGATTAAATAGATAAACAAAATTTAGCAAATAGATATCTCATTACGGACTATGATAAGGACAATAAGAAAAAACACAGGGAGCTATAACCATCTCTTTCCCTCTTTTTAAAACCAACTCAGAAACAGGAAATAGGTTTCTCATACTATAAAAAAAAGTTTCTACAAGAAAATATTCAGAATTCAAATTATGGAAACTTACAGCTTCTCTGCCAATGAGTGGATAAAAGGGAGTACCAAAAAGTTTCCTTCCATTGATAAATGCCTTCATGATGAAATTGGTCACTATTGAAAACAGAAAACAATAAAGATGCAGACCTTAATGTGTACGAGCTTTAAAGCAGTGAATTTCTATATTTAAAACTTACTTTTTCTAGAAACTCCAGCACCAAGGTTATGATTCAAGTCAAAAGGGTCTAGAAAAGAAAATTTTTACTTTTAATTAAGAATTATGTTCATTGTAACATAAAATATACTTAGTAACCATAACTATAGTCTAATACTATATAACTTAGAACTATCCAAGCAGCAAATTCTTCTTTTTTATTAAAATTTATTGGGGTGACAATGATTAGTAAAATTACATAGGTTTCAAATGTACAATTCTGTAATACATCATTTATATATCACATTGTGTGTTTACCACCCAGAGTCAGTTCTTCTTCAATCACCATATATTTGACCCTGTTTACCCTCATCTACCACTCCCCTCCCCCCTTACCCTCTGGTAACCACTAAATTATTGTCTGTGTCTGAGTTTTTGTTTGTTTATCTTGTTCCTTTGCTGCTTTCAGGTCTGTATCCCACATATCAGTGAAATCATATGGTTCTTGACTTTTTTCTGTGACTTATTTATTCTTTTAAAAGTACATATTAAAGAATGGAAACTGATAAAAATCAAAAGAAAGAATCTTTCACATTCTAATTATTACAGTTTTCCCATCAAATTTCCTTGACCAAATTAAACTCTGGCTAAATATCAGCTAAATAATTACCTTCAATTGCAATGCATTTGGATGTCCACTGCTTCTCAAAAGTTGTCAACAGTTTTTTCTGCCGAATGCTAATTACATATTCCTTGAAATCAAACTCTTCAGTATAGAAGCGAAGCAGTCCCAACCAAAGCTCTCCTAATGTTTCGGTGTTCTTTCCAAGTGAAGGTAAACGCTTTTTCTATTGGTGAGGGGGGGAGAGAGGGAGAGAGAGGGAGAGAGAGGGAGAGGGA